TGCCTCCTTCACGCCCATTATTGGGTGGATCGAACCTGCAATCTAGGCATATGCTCCCAACCGGAATCGAACCGGGACCTTTATTCCGCAGGCTGACACTATTCACTGAGCCAAACAAGCCACGGCCAATTATGGAATTTTAATAACTATTCATTATTTTTCAAATCAGCACATTTAGTCAAGTAGCTATAAAATAATTCTAATACGACAAAGACTTTTCTATCTTTTTTAAATGATCTCACTTATGTTGTTGTTTTTTTTTTATTTAGGAAAGTCTTAGATTATTTTATATATATATATATATATATATATATATATATATATATATATATATATATATTTTTTTTTTTTTTTTTTTTTGTGCCCACAACCAAGGTACATGCCCCTGACCAGAATCGAACCTGGGACCCTTCAGTCCGCTCTATCCACTGAGCCAAACAGGTCCTGGCTATTTTATATATTTTTAATATATATGGAATATATATGAAATATATTACTGATTCAAAGAGGAAGGAAGAAGAGAGAGAGAGAGAAACATCAATGACGAGAGAGAATCATTGATCAGCTGCCTCCTGCACACCTCCTCCTAGGGATCGAGCCTGCAACCTGGGACACCATACATAGTTGTTAGAATATTATTGATTACTAGAGGCCTGATGCACGAAAATCGTGCATGGGTAGGGTCTCTAGGCCTGGCCAGCAATCAGGACCAACTGGGGCCTTCTGGCTGCTTGCCAGGGCCTTCTTTCCAGCAGCCGGCTGAGGAGATGGGTTCTTGCCCCAGCTTTGTCAATAATTTGCTGTGTGACCTGCCAAATAACTCAACCTTAGTATTCTCTCCTGGGTTAACAATTATCAAGATAGAATGATAGAACGTTAGAATTGGCAAAGACTTCAGAGTTTATACAGTACAATTTCTTAATTTCATGGGGTGATTGAGTGACTTACTCATGAGCTTTCTAGAATAAGCTTTCAGTCTTGGCATCTTAGATCAGTCTCTTTTGACTTCATCACACTTTCTTTCAGTGTTGTTCCTAGATTCAAATAGACACACACACACAAAAAAAAAACCCCAAAACAAAACAAAACAAAAACATACTCCAAAAGTGAAATCACTAAACTAATGTATGGCCTTTCACATAAAGCCAGATAACAGTATTAACTATTACCCTGCACTGAGGCCTGCAAGCTTATCTGAAAATATATTCTGTTTAACTTAAGGATGACTTAAAATTCAGAAACTATGTAAGGAGACATCAGAAAAAATAAAAGGTAGGGGAGGTGGGAAGTAATGGTTGGCTTGGCGAATACTGGTAAACAGAAAACAAAACTCTCAGGAGTACTTTTATTCTCTTATCAATTATTTTTCTCCCTACCTTGTACATGGTGAAATTGAGGAAGTGGAGGTTGTTTTTACACATTTCTTATGGAATGGTGGGAAATAAGGGTTATTTGAGATGAAATTACTTTGCGAATACTACACATTACATCAACTCTCTAACTTAACGTCATCCTTTCTAGGGCCAGTGCCCAAAACAACGCTCTGAAAACAGCAGAAACCACAGCCAATGCAAAAACTCCAACTCCCGAAATGCTTCATGGCTTGTTTCCCCCGCTTCCTGGCACGAGCAATCGTTTCCGTACTGGGAGTTGTAGTCATTCAGGGCCCCCCACTTCCGTCGTGTAAGGGGAGGATGCCCCTCCAGGGAACTACATTTCCCAGCAAGCCGTGCGTACCATCCTCCGCGTTTGGCGCGTCAAACTCCACCCCCGCCCCCTCCTCCCTCCCGGGGCTGCACTCACAGCTCACGCCTTCCTGTTAGTCGGAGCTGGTAGAAGTTCACTCCGATCAGCTGATCACAACTGACAACAGGAGAGGAGGAAGCCCAGGAGGCTGCGAAGGAGGTGGGGGGCGGAGATGGAAATGAGGATGGATCCTCCGGTGCCCTGAGAAACAGCCCCCGCCCCCACCACCGGCGACCCGCGGTCCCCCAACGCCGCCTGGCCGCAGCCGAGCTGCTCCACGGTGGGGTCCCCTGGCCGCCGCGGGAGGGGAGGGAAGGGCACGGCCCTGCCTCGGAGACGAGCCGTAGTTCGGGAGCTCAGGCTGCCCCCAAGGAGGGAGGCGGGGTGTGTGTGTGTGTGTGTGTGTGTGTGTGTGTGTGTGTGTGTCTCGGGTGCGGCTGTTGTGGGGGTGGGGTGGCATAAACAATAGATTGGGCTCTGGCCTCTGCCAGTGTTTGTGGGGGGCTTGGGGGGACCTTCTTTGTTCGTGGGCTCTGCTCCCACCCACCCTCGGGTTGTGGTGGTGTTGCCCGGGAGGAAGGAAGGGTGAGGAATCCCCTGGCCGGAGGGGGGATACCGATGGAGGGAGCGGGCAGAGTGGGCAGCTTGTTTGCTTTGCCCGGCGGGCGGCGAGGTGTGCTGTTGAAGGCTGGTTTTATATTTTTCTCAATCGCGACAAATTTTTTGTTTGCGTGAGGGAGCTAGCTAGTTGGGCTGTCTGAGGTTAGAGGGTAAATAAGGTCTCCTAGTCACTCCCTTCGCCTTCCTTGTTTATCTAAAAATAAGATTGATCGGTGGATTTCTGTGTAGGAGGAGTGGGAAATATCTGAAAAGAGGGCTTTGCATTTCGTTGGGGCTTTAGAATGGGTGTCAAGGATAAGGGGGGTTAGGAAGATAATTGTAGAAGTCACAAAAGCCCCCTTTCCTGCCCCAGTTACATGTGTATTTTTAAGTTTTTGAGTAACAAAGAGAAAAAACGGTTTTAACTCACTGCAGGTCTGGCTTTGCGGTGGGCCACAGTGGAGGAATTCTGTCTCCTGTTGCTCTTTGTGTGTGTGTGTCTGTGTGCCCAGTTAGAGAAGGAACAAAAGGAAGTTCAGTAATTGTTTTATATTGTTTTCAAGCATGAAATGGTGATTCTTGTTTCCAGGTTTAGAGTTCTTAATAGGCATCTGTCTAGACTTGCAACAACTCTAGTACTTTGATGGAGCTGAAGTTTATTACTATTATCATTTCTTTAGCTTTTTACAGGCTTTTTTCTCCGTCTCTCCCAATTGGGGAGTGCATGTGGGGGTGCAGAAGGTTTTTTTGCTTAGGGATTTAAAAAATATATATTTTTATTTATTTTAGAGAGAAAGGGAGAGGGAGAGAGAGATGGAAACATCAATGATCAGAGAGAACCATCCATCGGCTTGAGGCTTGATTGGTTGCCTCCTGTATGCCCCACACTGGGAATCTAGCCCTCAACCTGGGCGTGTGCCCTGAGGAGGAATTGAACTGTGACCTCCTGGTTCATAGGTCAGTGCTCAACCACTGAGCCACGCCAGCTAGGCCAGTGATTTTTATTCTGAATTTAATAACTGAAGAGAAAATTTCTGTCTGGGAAATAAAGTAGCAAAAAGTCTTAGATGCCTAGAGGTAGTGGTTATTTTCAAAGGACAACTTGACCATAAATTTGAGAAGAAATTGCTAGGTCAGAATGAACCAGTGTAAATTAAAAAAAAAATTTTTTTTAAAAATTGATTTTAGAGAGAGAAAGGAAGTGGAATAGAGAAAGAGAAACATCCAATGAGAGGGAAACTTTTTAAAAAAATATATTTTATTGATTTTATACAGAGAGGAAGAGAGAGAGAGATAGAGAAGTCAGAAACATCAGCTGCCTCTTGCACACCCCCGCAACCAATGTACATGCCCTTGACCAGAATCGAACCCGGGACCTTTCAGTCCCCAAGCCGACGCTCTATCCACTGAGCCAAACCGGTTTCGGCGAGGGAAACCTCTTATCAGCTACCTCCTGCACGCCTCCTACTGGTGATGGTGCCTGCAACCCATGCATGTGTCCTGACCCAGAATCTATTCAGTGATCTCTTGGTTCGTGGGTTGATGCTCAACCAATGAGCTAAGTTGGCGAGGCTGAGCCAGTGTAAATTTTACAAGCAAGAATGAATTTTTTTTACAGGAGTTTTGGTGGTGTATTTAATCACAATCTTTTTCTTTCCTCACCTGAGAGTATTTTATTTTTTTCAGTGATTTTTTTTTTTTTAAAGATGGAACTTTTCACAAATTTGCATGTCATCCTTGCCCAGGGGCCATGCCAATCTTCTCTGTATTGTTCCAATTTTATTATATGTGCTGCTGAAGCCAACACTCCACTGATGGTTTAAAACAATTGTTTATTGTTGAAATTATTATATATGTCCCCTTTTTTTCCCTATTGACCTCCTCGGGCTCCAGTGATGATTTTTTGATTTTTTTTTAGAGAGAGGAGAGGATGGAGGAGGGGGTGGGGAGAGAGAGAAAGAGAGAAACATTGATGTGAAAGAGACATATCGGTTGGTTGCCTCCCGCACTTACCCAATGGGACTGGGGATTGAGCCTGCAACCGAGGTGCATGCCTTGACTGGGAATTGAACTCGAGCCCTTGGGTCCAGTGGTTGATGCTCTAATCATTGAGTAAACTGGCCAGGGCTTTTTGTGTGTGTGTGTGTGTGTGTGTGTGTGTGTGTGTGTGTGTGTGTACTTCTGTTTTTAGGTGAGTGAAATCCTTTTCCTTCCTTTATTTTAGGTTACCCCCGAAGTTTTGACTTGAGGTTGGATTATATTGAAGCGCTTCTGACCACCCTCTTTCCTTACCGAAACCTTGTGCTTGAGGCCCAACTAATGAGTCCACCTCAGTGAACCGTCAGCTCTCTCTCTGTGATAGCCATAAAAGACCCTTCCAGGTTCATTTGGACCACATATTTGTCTGCACTTTATGGAGGACGAAACCATCAAACCAAACGAACATTGCTGCTGATACCGAAGCCGTGGTGGCAGAAAGTTAAAAACTTGAACATTTGTGAGCGTGTGAAGCATTCTAACGGGACACTGAATGTGTGTGTGTGTGTGTGTGTAAGTGTGAAGGGTAAGGTGTTCACAACCCTGTGGCATTTCTGTGTGGTCTTCGTACTCAGAGCCTCTGTCCTCACTGCTGGGGAAAGCCCAGCGGCTGTTGTATGGTGGCTGATTTCCTTACCAGCCTGAGTATGAGCGCTCAGACCTCCCCGGCGCAGAAGGGCCTGAACCCGGGGCTCCTGTGCCAGGAGAGCTACGCCTGCAGCGGCAGCGACGAGGCTGTCTTCGAGTGCGACGAGTGCTGCAGCCTGCAGTGTCTCCGCTGCGAGGAGGAGCTCCATCGGCAGGAGCGCCTGAGGAACCACGAGCGGATCAGACTCAAGCCTGGCCACGTCCCTTACTGTGACCCCTGCAAGGGCCCCAACGGCCATTCGCCGGGGGTGAGGCAGAGGGCGGCGGTGAGGTGCCAGGCCTGCAAGATCAACTTGTGCCTGGAGTGCCAGAAGAGGACTCACTCTGGGGGTAACAAGAGGAGACACCCCGTCACTGTCTACCATGTCCCGAAGGCCCAGGAGTTACTGGAGGAAGAAGAGATGGACGAGGAGACCAAGAGGAAGAGGATGACCGAGAAGGTGGTGAGCTTCCTCCTCGTAGATGAAAATGAGGAAATTCAGGTGAGCCCTTGGAGTGTCGTGTGGGGGGTGGTGGGGCAGATCGGTTGTTGGAAGGCAGCTCTCAAAAAGGGGAGTCTAGAAGGAGCTCCCATTGTAAGCATTAAGAGGCAAGACCCCTGAAAGCTTAAACTGCAAGGAGTCGGGTTTAGTTTCTTAACACGTTGTGTGACTTTGGGCTCTCGCTCTCTCTCTCTCTTTTTCTTTTTCGACTGAATTTCTCCTCTGATCCTCAGTTTTTTCATCTATAAATTGGGAACACTGAGACTTCATTGGTTGCTGTGAGGATCAACCAATGAAGTGGCAGTTTTGTTTAGCTTATTGCATAATAAGTGCTCAGTATATGATAGCTGTTATTATTATTAGGAAAACTGATTTAGAACCATTTTCTGAACGAGAACACTTTGGCTAGTTGTGAATGATGAGGGATTCTACCTGTGCAGGGAAAGAAACGGTGATAGTGAGTGCCATGGGAGTGTTAGGCAATAAGTATCAATGATTGATTCCCTCCTGCACGCTCCGTACTGGGGATTGAGTGTGCAACCCTGGCATGTGCCCTGACTGGGAATCAGACCATGATTTCCTGGGTCAGTGTTCAACCACTGAGCCACCTGCCGGTCTTGAAAAAGTGGCATTTGAGCCCTAGCTGGTTTGGCTCAGTGGATAGAGTGTCGGCCTGCAGATTGAAGGGTTCCGGGTTGATTCCAGTCAGGGGCACGTGCCTGGGTTTCAGGCTTGATCCCCAGTCTAGGGCATGCAGGAGGCAGCCGATCAATGATTCTCTCTCATCATTGATGTTTCTCCCTCTCTTCCTCTCCCTCTCCCTTCCTTTCTGAAATCAATAACAATATATATGGCATTTGAGCCCTGGTTGGTGTGGCTCAATAGGAGTGTTTGTGCACTGAAGGTGGCGGTTCAATTCCTGGTCAAGGCATATACCTAGGATGTGGTTCAGAGTATGGGAGGCAACCCATACATGTGTGTCTCTGATATTTCTCTATCTCTATCCTCTCTCCCCCTCTCTCTATCTTTATCTCTCTTTCTACCATTTCCATCTCTTCCTCCCTCCCTGAATTAATTAATTAATTAATTTTTATTTTTAAAATATATTTTATTGATTTTTCATAGAGAGGAAGGGAGAGGGATAGAGAGCTAGAAACATCCATGAGAAACATTGATCAGCTGCCTCTGCACACTCCCTACTGGGGATGTGCCCACAACCAAGGTACATGCCCTTGACGGGAATTGAACCCGGGACCTTTCAGTCCGCAGACCGATGCTCTACCGCTGAGCCAAACTGGTTTCGGCTAATTAAAAAATTTTTAGAAGTGGCATTTGGTAAGGATAGTATTTTCTCCAGACAGGCGGTGGCTGCTGCTGCTCTTCTTCTTCTTCTTCTTCTTCTTCTTCTTCTTCTTCTTCTTCTTCTTCTTCTTCTTCCTCCTCCTCCTCCTCCTCCTCCTCCTCCTCCTCCTCCTCCTCCTCCTCCTCCTCCTCCTCCTCTTTTTCCCCGCACGTCATAAAAAGACTTTATTAAGAAGGCTTTGGAGTCAAAAAATAAAACTCTTGATACAATTTTCTGAACCCTTAAGTCAGCTCAGCAAATATATAATCAGTAATTTAGTTGCGTAAGATTAAAGGTCCGTTACTTTAAAATAAAATATATTTTAGTTTTTAAAATTTATTCCATAAAGTACATACATATTTTTCTATAAATTTGCTACATATACACAAGAGGTAAAAAGTAAAAGTAAAAAACAAACAAAAAAACCCCAACAATTAAATAAATTTAAAAAACGGACAACATAAAACCACAGCAGAAGAGGATTAATAATTAAAAATAAAAAAAGTTAGAAATTTCTGGTTGGGACACTCCTGTGCCCCTCCCCCTTTCCCCTCTCGAGCCTTCCTGGGGCTGATCTACAAAAGGGTGACCAGTTAGCCCCAAAACGGGAGTGAAAAGGTATAAAAACGTCACCGTCCTCCTGGTGGAACTTTCTGCAGAGGCTTTACCACCCCGTAAAAACAACACCAGACAGGCTCTTCTTATTGTCATGTGCAGGCTTCTGATTGGTAAAAGCCAGTGAGACACTTGGGATTACAGAAGGACTGTGGAACATTTGATTTGATTCTGAGGTGGGGAGAGGGTAGTATATGGCCACTAGGAGAGATTGGTGGTATAATGTTTATACTTTCCAGAGAAGATAATATAAGGTCTGTGCTTTCGAGTGAAGGCTGCTTGATTCATATCCTGGCTATAACCATGTTATAGCTTATTGGCTGTATAACCATGTTAAGTTATAAGCTCTGTGCCTTCTACTCCATAGTAGTAGTTGAGAGGATTCAAAGATATTAGGAATGGGGAGGATTTATCTTAAGGCCTGGCACATAGTGTCTACTACCAGTCTGTTGCAGTAGTTAGTTTGTTTTTTAATCTTTATTGTTGAAAATATTACATAGGCTCTCTTTTTCTCCCAATTAACATCTTCCAGCTAGCTTGCTCTCATTCTCCTCTCATCTCCCTCTTTTTTTTTTTTTTTTTTTTTTTTTTTTTAAATATAGTATATTTTTATTGATTTCAGAGAGGAAGGGAGAGGGAGAGAGATAGGAGCATCAATGATGAAAGAGAATCACTGATTGGCTGCCTCCCACTCTGCCCTAACCAGGGCTGGGATGGAGCCTGCAACCAAGATACGTGTCCTTGATAAGGACCCTTCAGCCCGAGGACCCACTCTCTTATCCACTGAAACCAAACTGGCTAGGGCTCTTGGGTTTCTTTCATAAAGGACCCATATAATTCCATTCACGAGGGCTTTGTTCTTATGATCTAGTCACCTCCACAGGCCCCATCTCCTAATACTATCGTATTGGGGGTTAAATTTCAACATGTGAATTTCAGAGGGGATACAAACATTCCGTCTACAGCATTGCATTTTATAGATGAGGACACCGACGCACAGAGAGATGAAGTAACTTGCCAAGATCAAGTTACAGTAAGTGGCAGCGGATTTGAACACAGGTATCTGGCTCTAAGCTCCTTGCTTTGTGACACTTCTGCTATCTCTGACCAATCATTTAAACTTTCTAATTAAGCTTCGTATGGTTAAAAGCATCAGATCACCAGTTCCTTATGGCTGCTGTAAGAATCAAATGAAAGAGCTGTATATAAATGTAAGACTTGTCATTGAAGAGCTCCTTCCTTATAGCAATAAATACTCTTATAAAAAGAGAGAGAGAGAGAGAGAGAGAGAGAGAGAGAGAGAGAGAGAGAGAAAACCAAAAAACAAAAAAAATTCTATGAGTTAGGACCCAACTTTGTTTTTATTTTCTTGTTTCTAGGCATCTGTGTACATAAGGAATATTTTAGAAGCTAATAGGCTGTTAATGTTATGTGTGGTTTCCTCAAATCCTATGGCCTAGAGTCTCCTAAGATTCTCGCTAGTGATTCAAATATTAAGTTTTTTTTTGGAAAACTTAAAGGACAAAAAGTTACCTTTAGAGGTGAAAACGTTTTATTACCATTCTGTTGTTGTCATTTGAGTGGATACTAGAATTATAAATTTGATGCGAGACTAACTTTTGGTCTCAGAAGTAGAAACTCATTTGTTGCCTGCTAGCCAAAGCCACTCAATAATTCATCACAGTTATTGACCAGATGTTATGTGCCAGCACTTTCTAGGTTCCAGGGATAAATGGTTAAAAAACTTGGTCCATGCCCTGACCAGTTTGGCTCAGTGGATAGAGTATCGGACTGCGGATTGAAAGGTTCCAGATTCGATTCCAGTCAAGGGCATGTACCTTGATTGTGGGCACATCTCCAGTAGGGGTGTGCAGGAGGCAGCTGATCAATGTTTCTCTCTCATCAGTGTTTCTAGCTCTCTACCCTTTCCCTTCCTCTCTGTAAAAAAATAAAAAACAAATATTCAAAAAACCCCAAAAACTTGGTCCATGCCATCCTAGAACTTACTATTTAAGTGTGGAAAGCACAGTTCACATATGTAAAACACAAACAGATGGTTTAGTTGTAGTATTATTATTTTTATTGATGGATTTTAGCGAGAGAGAGGAAGAGGGAGAGAGAGCAACATCAATTTGAAGTTCCACTTAGTTGCATATACATTGGTTGATTCTTGTATGTGCCTTGAACGGGGGTCGAACCTACAACCTTGGTGTTGATCTAACTAACTGAGCTACCCAGCCAGGACCTGAAGATGATTTGGAATCCACTCTTGCAGGATAGTCAGGGAAGGTTTTATTGTAGAGGTGACTTACAAGCGAAGATCTGATGATTGATACTACCTGGGCAAACAGACCTCCAGAGGGAAAAGGGAACAAAAAGAAGGTGGGATGGCATGCTTGAGTATGCCAGCGTGGCTGGAGTGAGTTGTAGAGTGTGTTAAGGAAACAGGTGCAGAAACAAGTAGGTGCCACATCACATGGGGCTTTGAGGACCCTAGAACCATGGTCGGCAAACTGCAGCTCGAGAGCCACATGCGGCTTTTTGACCCCTTGAGTGTGGCTCTTCCACAAAATACCATGGCCTGGGAGAGTCTATTTTGAAGAAGTGGCATTAGAAGAAGTTTAAGTTTAAAATATTTGGCTCTCCAAAGAAATTTCGATCTCTGTACTGTTGATATTTGGCTCTGTTGACTAATGAGTTTGCCGATCACTGCCCTAGAAATAACTGGATTACGAGGGTAATGAGAAGCACCTATCTGCTTTATGCTAGAGAGTCACATGATCTGATAGAACTTTTTAAGAGAAGTCTCTTTACTGGAGTGTGAAGACTAGATTGTGGTGATTGTAGGGGGACAAGAGTGAAAGCGGTGAAACCACTTAGGAGGCTATGGCAGAAGGTGAGGTGAGAGGTGGCTTAGATTTGGTGCTATCATTGACATGATGAGATGGAAAACATTAATGAATGTGGGACAAAGTTTGGATGTAAAATGAATGCTGATATATTGGGTGGAGGAGTGAGGGAATAAGAGAACTTAATGGTGACT